GGCTGCTGGCCGCTCACGCTGGCTGCTGGCTACACACGGTAGCCCATGGCAACCCACCTGCCGTTGGTGGCAACTCCCGGCAGCCCAGCTCCAGGTTGAGCTGTTGTTCAGCATCTTAGCTGTAGAGGGCAGTGTCACTGGCCCTCATATGTGGGATCCTAACCTGCTGCTCAGAGCTGGCATCCCAAGCCAGCTCTTAACCAACGTGCCACTCGGCCGACCCAGAATTGTGCTTTTTATATCTTGTTTTTAATACCCTTTTCTACTCTAAGGTCTATAAGATATTCACCTATATTTTCTAATTATGTAAAGTCTTGTTATTGACTCATGTAGAGTTGATTTTTATATATAGAGTGAGTTAGGGATATAATTTTCTTTTTTTCCATATGTACAACCTTATTTTTTTCCAACTTCATTTGCTGAATAGTCTCTCCTTTCCTTGCCAATCTGCTATGTTACTTCTGTCATATACCAGGGTTACATGTATGTGTTGGTCTGTTTCTGGTTCTCTAGTCTACCCACTGGTCACTTTGTTTTTTCTTTATCAGTTTTTCTTTATCAGTTACACACTCTGAATTCTTTAGTAAATCCTAGCTGCCGGAAGGGCAAATATGCACTACCTTTCCTTCTTTTTTCAAAAGGGAAATTCTTGACCTTTTTCTTTTCCGGATGCATTTTAGAGTCAGCCAATTTGAATTTTGTTTGCATTTGCATTGGATCTATGGATCAATTAGAGAATTTATGCTATTATAATATGACATTTTCTTAAGTATAAATATAGTATAGCTCTCCATACATTTAAGTCCTCTTTAATATCTCTTAGTAAAGTTTTATAATTTTTCTATAGTGATTTGCATGCCTTTTGTTAGATTAATTTCTGGATACTTGACATTTTCTGATTCTATCATGAACGGTGTTTAAAACTATATATTTTTATTTATATTTATACTTAAAACTATTCTAGTTTTTGTTGCTGGTATGTAGAAATGCAATTGTATATTAATTTTACTTTCAACCATCTTGATAAATTCTTCTATTATTTCTAGTAATTTATATGGAGATTATTTGGGATTTTCTAAGATTCATTTGAAGAAGTAATTTACAATCTTCACAAATAGAAGGGCCCGCCGAGTGGCTCAGTTGGTTAAGAGCTCACTCAAGAGTGCGAGTTCTGAGCAACACTAGTTCAATTCCCGGCCTGAGCTGAGTTGCCGCTGAGCTGCCAACAGACTCAGCTTAAAAAAACAAAACAAAACAAAAACAAAATCTTCACACATAGAATACATATCCAGCTCAAGTTGAACACACCTAGATCAAAACACAAATTTTCATACATTTAACACACCTAGATTAAGACACAATATTATCAGCCCTCCTAGTGGCCCACGTTGTGCTTCCGTCCATTGTCTTCCCCCTTTGCCAAGGGTAACTGCTATTCTGACTTCTACCCATAGATAAGTTTTGTTAATTTTTGTGCTTCACATAAATGAACAGTATTCTTTGTATCTGGCTTTTTTTTTTCTGAACCTTATGTTTGTAAGATTTATTTATATTATTTTTTTTTCCTTACTGCTATGTAGATTTCCACTGAGCAAACAAACCACTGTTCTCTTGAGGGACACTAGGTAGTTTCCAAATTTCAACTATTATGACTCGTGCTGCTATACACATTGTAGAATATGTATTTTGGGAAAAATAATGTGCACATTTCAGTTGGCTGTATACCTAGAAGTGGAATTGATGGGTCATAGAATATGTGTGATAGGCAGAAGGCTAAGAATTCTAAGATGGCCTCCAGGACTTCTGTCCCATGGTGATACTCTTGTAATTATATTACATGGTATATTACATGGCAAAAGGGGTTTTGAAGATGTAATTGAGGTTACCAATCTGTTGACCACAAATGAATCCAACATTAGAATTGGGCTGAAGGAATGTGATATGGGACACCAACAGTTTCTGCTGTGCTAAATATAGAATTCAAGGTTGGTGGTTATTTTTTCTTTCAATACTTTGAAAATACCACTGTATTGTTTTTTGACTTCTGTGGTCTGTTGAGAAGTTAAATTATTCTTGTTCTTATTTTTGTTTTTTTGAAGGGAATTTGTCTTTTTTCCCTCCCATCTGGCTTTTGCAACATTTTCTCAGTTTCCATTAATTTTACTATAATGTGCTTAAGTGTTGTTATTTATTCTGTGGGGTTCTTAGGGTCTTTCATGTCTGTATCTTGATATCTTTCATGAGTTTTAGAAAATTCTCAGCCATTATCTGTTTAAATGTTGCTTCTGCCCTATTCTCTTTTCTTTGTCTGGGACTCCAGTAACACACTGTCTCCTTATCACTG